CACACTGCACACCAGAGAAGGCAGAAGAAACGCAATATTGAAGTGGTTAAATTGCTAAAAGTTGGGAGAGACACATTTTTGTGCCTGAAAGGTCTGGTATTACCATGGATGGATCCAAAAACAAGAATGGAACAAAAGAACATTTTGCATGATTTGTCTCCTTTAAAATACATCAGAAAGCCTCATTAAAATTACGGTTTATTGTACAATTGTCCAAAAAGAGTATTTCACTAAAATTGCCCTGGCATCAAAATTCTATCATAATCAGTATTTTTTCTGGTTTTGAAAACAAATTTGAAATAGTATTGTGCCAACACTACACTGGCTCTTGGAATAACGGCTTCCCGCCTCGATCGTGTTGTGTGCGTATTTCTATTATGTAATACTTTTAAATGTGATGCAGTTTGTGAGACGTTCCAATAAATCCATTAGCTTGATGTGCAAACAAAACGACCTGGCCCTGTTGACAATGAGCAGGTTTCGATTAAACAATACTCTCATCCCTGGCACATGGGTCTCTAACATGGCAGATTATTTTTTCATTCAGATTTAGCCGCTAACTATAATGGATTGCAATTACATGGTCCAAGTCACTACTGCAAACGCTACGCCAAAGACAGATGAACCAGTTGGCTCTGCGGCCAACAATGGAAGTTAGTTTTATGATGATTTTTTTTGGAATGTTTATCCATCCACACGCATCAGGTGTGACTACTGCGGCACGGTGGCTGAGTGGATAGCACTCTCGCCTCTCAGCAAGAAGGTCCTGGGTTCGAATCCCGGTCGGACCAGGGCCTTTCTGAGTGGAGTTTGCATGTTCTCCCCGTGTCTGCGTAGGTTTCCTCCGGGTACTCCGGTTTCCCCTACCACTAAAAATATGTCCAATAGTTCTAGCATGTGCCTCCTGTACTGGCGACCGCGCTCCCATCTCTGTGTGGAGTGAGAGACAAATGCCCAAAAAATAACAATTGTAAACCGCTTTGAGACTCAGATCTGCAGTGAAAAGGCGGTATATAAATAAATACTTACTTACTTACTTACTTACTTACTGCCTATTTTGGTTTCCAACACAATTGCTACTTTAGGCAGCTAATCATTTTCAGACATAGCACATCAGTCACTATCTCCTCATGAGTGCTCGAAACAGAATAACACAGGGAAGCTTTGGCAGTTGTTGCCTTCGCTTGTGATAATAAACATTTGGTTCTTAGTAGACAATAATGCATTTTCAAACCAGTCTGCACTCGTGGAACCTGGTTTTCCCATTCAACTCACCAGGAGTCTTTATGGCAACAGTTTTTATGTTTTCTTTTTTTATAATTAGATTAACAGAGCACAAATCATTTTGGTTTTGAAAATTTCTGCTTTACAACACTCATTCAGGGGACAAAACAGGATTGACCAAATCAATGAGAAAGATAAAATGTGTAATTTGTTACCCAATCTTTATTATTGAATTCAACCCTTCACTCGTCAGTCCCACGTGAACTAGAGCTCACTTTAAATGAACCAAGTGGGTCAAGAATACTTAATTTGTGTCAATGTAAATCCACCAAACCAAACAAGAGAACAATCTTCCAGGAGACATTGAAGGTCTCCTGGAAGATTGTTCTCTTGTTTGGTGATTTTACATCTCCTCAGCTGAGAGATGTTGCCCTCATTGGTTCACCTAAAGAAAACAAAGTGAAATCTGGTGCACTTGAACAATATTTTGCTTAGACATAGATGAAATATTTGTCCTCTTAAGATTAGGATATGGTTCAGGTTAGAATTTAGTTTATATTAGGCTGAGGAAATAGGATATGGTCAAAATGTATAGGGTTAGGGAATGCTTAGTTTAGTTGCGGCGAGGTTACGTTATTTTAAGGTAAGTTTGTGAATTGTAGGAAAGAACTGCTGTCTCCAGAAGGAACACCTATTACAACATATCACCGGAATTATTGTCAATTAGGACGACCAGTCTAGAGGATCCACCCGGAAGAACAAAGTCCTCCTATATATCTTTCATTTTGGTTATGATAATGGTAAGAAAATATTATTGTGTTAGGGGTTAAGGTTAGGAATATTAATCTCTTTTGGTTAGAGTTATGGTTAGGGGTTAAACAGCATTCTGTCAGCATCTCATTTGCGCCCTTGCATTTGGCATCCTGTTAACTGTTTACGGATGACTGAATTCAAACCCTTCACATTCAATAAGATGCATGTCTCTCCACATTTCAACGCCTGTTAGGACGATCTTCAGTGTCTGGGTCACTTTATCCGTTCACTTCTCTAATGACTCCCCTCCCTCGCTTCCCCCCTCCTGTCCCTGTCGTCATCTCTTCCAGAGATTGGAAATTAAGTCATCCGTCATGTGGAAATTGGAATGTACAAGAATCACAAATGTACTTTGCATAGAATCAAAATGACATCCTGTTTCAAGATGTGCCAAAGATGAATGTTTTCTTTTTTTTACTTGTTAACATTTATTACAGTAAGATACAAGCCTAAATCTCAATACATACTCACATACATTTTGTAAATTTTGAAACAAGTATAGTATATTTACAGCAGGGGTCTTCAACCTGTGGCTCGGGAATGACTAATAGCTTGCTCGCCCCTTTCAGGGTAGCTCGCCAAAAGATTTAGAATTTCACAAATGATCTTGAATGAATACATTTTGAGTCATATCTATAAGAAGAATACATCTAGGGTTAGGTATATTAAGGTATATTGTACATGTGTTCTTCATGTTTTGTCGTAATTATTAAATTAGATTATTAGATTTTTATTACGACTGCAAAAGAAGTAGCTCTCTGCCTCTTCTGTTGCATAAAAGTATCTCTCTGATTGAAAAAGGTTGGAGACCTCTGATCTACAGTATATCTCTCAGTCTGGTCATCTCTGCTCAGACTTCTGCATTCCGAGCCAGGACTGGATAAAGCGTGAGAAAGCAGAGAAACTGAGGGATAACGGAGGCTCTATAATATTTATCCCATAACATAACTATTGTAGAATCATCTGCATTGTTAGTCGTAGAGAATGTTCTAAAGTGTGGTTTGAACTTTTATTTTCAAAGAATGAGTGACGTTCTCCTTCCAGAGAGCTATAGTTGAGACATTTTGACAATACAGACTTCTCCTGGCATTTGCATTTCACAGAAAGGGAATGGCCAAAAATTCATCTATTTGTTCGATTTTAAATATAAAAAAGCGATGGAAGCAGGGTTGTTATAAATAGTACCATAATTGACATCAACTTGAACCGTATCATAACAAGAACATTCATCCAGTTCATTCCCTTTCATTTTGCTTGAAGTCACCATTTAAGCCCTCACTTTTCTAAATTCTATTTCACGCCGAGGTGGAGCAAAACGATAAAGATTCGGAAAACCATAAAGCTTCAGAAGGGTCTCCACTTTATGGGCAGTTTTTGGAGAGCTTTTGTGTGCACCGTGGGGAGGATGTATCATGCCCTGTCAGAATATTGGGTGAGTCAGCCGCAGTGCTTTGTGATGTGTGTGCTGAGGTTATGGGCCCGTCATGCACACTAATAGAGCATTTGAAGACTTAAAGTGCTGCTCTGCTATCAGGGCTTGAGTCACCAAATATGATAATATGGCCAGAATGCTCTGACTCATTATATAAGGAGAAATATCCGGCGAGGGGTGGGCTATATGAGAACAAACTGTCCATTACTCGATGACCCTGCCATTCTAAAGCTGTATCTTGCAAATTATGTATATACACTGTTCACAACCAAGCCTGGAATGCTTTCGCTTTATTGTACAGATGACAAATTTACATTTCAGTACATTTGCAGCCCATGTGTCATGTTACAGCCCACAGCCTTCAGTGCGTATTTTAAGACTATTGCAAGGTATACCAGACAACTCTAGTTTCCTATAGATTAATATAGTACATCTATCCATACACCCCAAAATATATCTATTTTTATAGATCCTTGCTATCTTTCCCTCATGTATATTTGAGAACCATATTGTGTGGAGTTAAGAGAGGGGTTGGCAACCTTTTTTGCCAAGATACTCAAAAAATTGCTAAATCTATCTATTTAATTAGCTCCTTGCTAAGTTTCCCACATATGCGAGTACAGAGAATGGTTGGCAACCTCTTTCACCAAGCTACTTAAAAATAACTCAAAAATAAATTCTTATTCCTCTGGCGTAACCGTTTGGATACCTCTCACAATCCTGGAATTAAATTGTTTGGGTTTAATGTTCTCGGGGGTGTCAAATTCGTTACAGAAAGGGCAGAGTGAGCAGTGCACATCAAAATCTACAGTACTCAAGTGAGTCCGGTCTTAAACTGACGTTGAAACGAGAGTCTGATGTGCTTCTGCTTGGTTGGATTAAAAACCAGCAGCAATTTTGTTTTGGTTTACATGAAGCAGCTGAGTTTATTTTTAAATTGTCAATGTAAATCAATCAATAATAACAAACAGGTGCCTTCTATGTCATAACTCAACTTTGGCTACTGAACGGTGAAAGAACCGCCGAAGCTATCGTTTGGCTCTTTGGTTGCTATGAGAGAATTTGCTTCTATATACAGTATCAGCACTCTCTCATTTCTTGGTACTCACTATTTCCTGAAGTATGGTTTTATTTAGTGAAGTTGTGTAGCCAGGCCAAAGTGTGGACTGCCGTAGAGTGCATTTGGTCTGCTGCACAGTCATGTCTGATGGTCACTGTGCGAGGTGTTGTTTGATGTGTGAGGAGCAGGCCGAGTCATAAGGGCCTACTTTAACAGGAATGGTGTGCCGTTAGAAAACTGTAAACAACAGTTGGTTCAATCTGTATCTATAAGATTCCTAAAGCTGGAAATATTATGGCAGAAATAACGTAAAATCAACCAATCATATATGAGCATGTTCTGGCTTATGGAGAGTATATGTTTTGAGTCCGGGTGTTCTTGGACGCTCCTCAGAGACCTGCTGCCGTTGCTGCTTGTATTCCTGTGTTCAGTTCTTCTCTCTCTGGCAGCTTGGATCGTCTTTGAAGCGACATGGGGAAACATAACAGTAAACTGGCTCCAGAAGTCCTGGACGACCTGACCAAGAGCACGGAGTTCAATGAGGCCGAGCTGAAGCAGTGGTACAAGGGCTTCCTCAAAGACTGTCCCTCCGGCATCCTGAACCTGGACGAGTTTCAGCAGCTTTATGTCAAGGTGAGACTCACAGAGAGATGGAGCTGATGCGGGGGGGAAATTACACAGTTAATTAGTCTATTCACTTTCAACTAATCACCTTTTTTATATTAACATCTGCCACGGCGACAATATAACATTTATCTTTATCCTAATTGCCAAACACTTTGGTCCGTGGAAGCTGCAGTGCCTAATTTATTCTCGACAAATATGGATGGATCCCCATTTTTCATATTTTAATATCAATATTAGGGTAATTAAGGAAATACCATATTGATTAATATTAGCCCGATACAGTATATCACTAGAATCACAAGGCGCTATTATCCCAGATTGATGCATCAGGCGGGTTTGTTTATTTGAGCTGGAGTAAAATATTAGTGAGTGGAGAGACTAGGTGGCGCCAGATTTGTTCTTGAAGTCATTGGTCCAGCTCAACATGTGACTGGCTCCACCCATAGCAGAGGGCACACTCTAGACCTGCTATTTACAAAGGGAAATGATGAAGAAAGTGGATGGAAAAAGACATTAATTTTTGCTATACAGAGCTCAAAATTATTGTACTTTTACTTTTGCCTACTTACCAATAAGATAGTACTTATCCTTTCAAGCTCAAAACTAAAACTACATGTTAACTTTTTCCCTTCCAGTTTTTCCCATACGGCGATGCCACAAAGTTTGCACAGCATGCATTTCGGACGTTTGATAAGAACGGCGACGGCACCATTGACTTCAGAGAGTTCATCTGCGCCCTGTCCGTCACCTCCAGAGGTACCTTCGAACAGAAGCTCAACTGGGCCTTCAACATGTACGACCTGGACGGAGACGGAAAGATCACACGCATGGAGATGTTGGAGATCATCGAGGTAAATCATTCTTTTGGTTTTCATTTGTCGAGACATTGACTCGAATAACAGGTGAGGCTTTGGGGCAACCATTTATCGATCAACAACAGTTTTTGCAACACCACAAATTGAGATGTCCACAATTTCATTTGATTTGATTAAATATCATCAATTCCGATCAGGGGTTATACTACGATAAAGTAGAGACGCAAACAAGGCTTCTTGCTTCAAAACTGTAAAATTGAGTGAAAATCAGAAACCAGAGGAAAATATTTGGATTACCTCATGATATGTTACTGTAATCTTATGGTTTGCCAAAGTCCACTAAACAAATCACAATTTATGTATTTTTTTCTCATTTACTTGAGTACATGCCAGTTATTGATTTTAACACACATTAAAACATAGTTCTTTTATATTGGAATAACTAACATTCTGTAGTGACCTTGCTGGATTTCAAACATTGGTTTACTTACTTTTGCCCCATGTTGTTTGACCCAACAGAAATAGTCATGTATAAGTAAATTATTGTGACTTTTTCCTTGGTTTTGTACCCAGTCTTTAATGTGTCATAAGGGAATGTTTAAAAAAAAACAAAAAACATGATGATTTCAGCGTTGAATAATGAGAGCTCTGTTAAACTTACACTATTCTCTTCCATTGTTCGGCCTTCAAAACCACACCTTGCATACAGTACAATTCCTACTGACATTTCCAGCACATATGGGCATAAAGGTCAGACGGACGTTATTCTCCAGACACGCTGCCAAAGACAAGTACAAGTAAGAAGTGGGGAAACAAAATCAATAGATCCTGTCAGTCCAATGAACTAGGACGTTCTCTTCTTCTTCTCCTCCATCAATGGAACCTTGCAGCATGTCTTTTAAATGTCATTTCAAATGTCTATTAATCTCTTATAATGAATACCTCTGAGGGAAGATAAAAGGTTTATCTTATCTTGTCTTAACCAAACACAATATGGTGGACTAAATCACAGCGTTGTAAAGAGGAGGTTGAGGACTGTTTTTTGCACATCTTTTATTGAGTTACCACAAAAGGATGAGAATATTTGGTTTGTGTGTAGATCTATGAATACATTTCCGAAGATTTAAATTTTGAACACATTTTTAAAAGATTATTATTATTCTTAAAATAATTATTTAAATGAATAGAAATTAAACTGAACCGTTGATCAAAGAACCTGCTGGATTCTCTTTATAAAAATGTCTTTCCATCTTGAGATGCTTGTTCCCTGTGCACATTTTATTATTCTTATTGACCCTTATTTAACCAGGTAGGTCCCACTGAAACTTCAGAATACTTTTTTTATCAGGGGGGTCCTGGCCCCTGGAGAGAGACCTACTATACATGCTTTTAGTGGAAGGAGAAATCTGAGCACTCTGAGGAAACCTATGCAGACATAAGCAAACTTCACTCATGAATACTCCATGTTGGAAAAGCAACGTGATTTAAAGCTGGGTTACCTAATTTTCAAAACACTGACAAATTAGCTACCATATGTAAAATCCAATTAACTCAGGCAGGTCCAAACTAAGTCGCTTTTATGTGGCCCTCTGTTGCTTATAAAGTAGCCATTGATATACTTTTAGTGTCATCCAGCCAGCTTAAGCTACACTGAATAGTCATGCTATAGCTCATTGTAAAGTCCAGTACTTCTTGTTTACTAACTCCATTTATGGCGCTAATGTAGCTGTGTTGTGAAGCAGAGTGGATATCATTATAAGTAAACGTCTATGTTGTTTACCCTGGACAAGTCTGGTGAACTGAAGTGGCCATCTTACAAAAACAAAGTTTGGGCACCTCTGATTGAATTAGTTCTTCGCAAAAATGATAGACCTCCTTCACACCTAAAGATCTGATTTTACAGACAAAACATCAGCCAATCAGCTCTGTATGCAAGTGTGTATAGTATGCAAAAAACAACTCACGTTCTAATCGTCAAAAATTCAGCTTAAGGTAGTTCTGATCAACGTAACTTCTAATTTAATTCATTGTGGTCCTACAAAAACTGAACTGTATGTTTTATGTTTCTCAGTATTACATGAACTGTGCTAACTTTACCGCTCTGTGGGATAAATAATAGTTCTCATAGCTTACCTCTGCTACTACCTGTCATTTTCAAATTGGAAATTCCATCTGAACTGAAGTCTAAATAACATCCAGACCATGAAAAAAAGGTTAAAGGCTTTTTATGTTGGGACAAAAAAAAATACGTTGGTTCCCCAGCACCAAAGTAAGACATTAGAATAGTAAGCTCAAAACATTAAAGGAGCAATATGTAAAAATCTGGCCAAAAGTGGTACTGCAGTCACAGTCAATATTTTGTAGTCCTCTCCCACTCTCCCTGACTCAGGTTGCCAGATTCACACCAAATCCAGCAGCAAACACAGGGAATTATTTTATCAGTTGTTTGTCCGTCTCCATTCACATTGCCATGACAGCTGTGCTAATGCTGAATGAACGTTTTGATTAATGTTTTTTTATTATTATTATTTGGACATTTGAGATAAAAAACAAAAACAAAATAAAAGCAATGTAATTATACATAGTTTATGCAAAATAAATAAGCAATTGATGTCCAAAATAGGAGTGGGAAGAATGGATGTTGGAACGTATTTCTTCAGCGTATCAACATCAGGGTTTGCTCAAGAGGATATCACCTTTCAATTTTATTTATTCCCTATTTTTTAGACAAACATGTAAAAGTCCCACATCAAAAAGAGACTAACATTATTTTAATTGGGGTACATGTGGTCTTAAATGATTATTTTTACAATTAAGCTATAATCTGCAAAAAAAACGTCTTGACCTTCATCTTTTACCGTTTTTAGAGCAATCTGTCATAGAATGTGATAACATGCAATAAATACAAAAAGACATAACCCGGTATCGAACCCGGGTTCCTGCATCGTAAGCGCGCAGCTCAGTCCACTAGACCACCGATTCACACGAACCGAAGCACCGTGAAGAACGGAGTCAAACTAGAAAATTCTGCATCACACGTGAACTTTTATCAGCTGTCTCAATTGTTCAAAGGCATCCCGATATAAATCCTCGTTTTAGTCTTTGTTTTGTCATTAATGATTTGAGAGTCATAACAAGACCTTTTTTAGTTCTGCGCCACATGTTATTTTACCACTGAGATTAATGAGCCGCGCGGAGTTCTGGCAACCCGATCACGGACTTACATGACACTTCCTGATTGGCGAAACGGCGGAGGGTAGGACATCAAAATCAAAACAATAACAACTTTTACGGGTCGTAAAACTAATTTTGATAATCAAATATCTCGGCTGAACTACTGTTATCAGTTAAAGATGAATTCGAAAAGAGTATGATTTAATAACGCCTTTTGAAATATTCAGGTCATTTAATGATGACTTGACATGCAAATATTACATATTGCTCCTTTAATTCTAAACACATTCTTACAGCTATTTAGGGGTTTGTAACTTTTTTACAGCTGGCAATGACATGGATTTGAATGTATCTGTCTCTCTGTGCAGGCCATTTACAAGATGGTGGGCACAGTGATCATGATGCGCATGAACGATGACGGACTGACCCCACAGCAGCGCGTGGACAAGATCTTCTCCAGGATGGACAGAGACAACGACAACGAGATCACGCTGGAGGAGTTCAAAGAGGCGGCGAAGGCAGACCCCTCCATCGTCCTACTGCTCCAGTGCGAGATGCAGAAGTAAAGATGAGGGAGGGGAAGAGGAAACATGGACCGGAGTCGAGAAATGCTACATTATGAGATCGTATGGCCGGGGAGGAGGCCGCTACTGAAAGAGAATTTTTCGTTATTGCTCATCGGTATACAGACTAGTATGTTTAATTTTAGTAGTGATATATTTCCAAGAGCAAACACGATTTTGACGATAACTTCTGGCTATTATACAACTAGACAAAAAAACTAAAATAACTAAAGCGTTGAATAGTTAATCATTGAATTCAAAATGGCCAGTTAACCAAATATTATGCAGTGGGCCTATTCCACAAAATCTAATAATTGCATGTGGTTTATATTTTATTAATACGTTTTTTGTATGGTGTAATCGTTTATTTGTACAAGATTGATCCACCCCATTACAAGTTTTGAAAGCTGTCATCTTGGCCTAGTTACAATGTTTTATTAATTCAGTCATTGCGAATCTCATTCAGACGGAATTTCCAATTTGAAAATGTCATATAGTGGCAGAGGTAAGTTATGAGAACTTTTGTGTATCCCACAGAGAGATAAAGTTAGCACAGAATCATAAAACATACAGTGCATCTTTTGTAGAACCCCAACGAAAAATATTAGAAGTTAAGGTGCGGTATTTGTCAGGAGCAGTGGTCACTTGGTATGGTCAGAAGAACCACCTTAGCTGAGGGATTAGAACCTATAATGCATGTTTTGGGTGGTTGAGTAAACCACAGCGCCCAGAGAAAGCCCACCTAGACACAGGGAGAAACATTCAAATTCCATATAAAAAGATCTGGTTTGATACAGGAATCAAACCAGCTCCCTCATTACTATGGAGCATGAAACCTACTCTCTCCAGCACATACAGATGGAGATTGTAAAATTAGAATAATGTTCAAAAGTTCATTTACTTCTGTATTTAAAACCAGTACATGACATATGCCAAGATTTTGTGTGTTATTGATGATTATAGCTTACAGTTTCTATAAATCCCAATTTGCTAAGAAGTTTCAATTGGTGTTTTTATAAGATGTGAGCCAATCATCAACATAACATATAAAGCCTTGATATATCGCACTGAAGTAATTTTCCGAGTTTCCCCTGTATAGTCTAAATGTATATTCACCTCATTCTAAGTCTGTAAAGTTCTCTTATCATCAGACCAGAATGCAAAGTTGGTTATGTTAATGTCGGCAGATCCGTCGGGTGTCTAATTTTTTCAACACCCCGGTTTCCGAATTTACATACGAAACTGAGGTTTGCCCGCTGCGCTCCCTGGGAAGGAGTGAAAAAGTGTGACATGAAGCCAGGCAGGAGGCAACTGTCTGGACCACATGTGTCTGCAGCGATAGCAGCACTGTGTATGCAAATCCAGTCCACCCCAAGCTGTGTGCGTTTTGTCAGCTAGCATGAATATATATGAAGACTTTTTGAGAGGAAAACAAACCTCTCCCCAAGGCAAACCATCTCCTCATTAATCTGTATGAAGCCAGTCTACGCGGTGGTCCTTCAGTGATGTGGCGGAGAATGTATATGCTCCATGGCTGGCATTGCGTCTAAATATTTTACACACAATTGAAGTGGGTATTTATGGTGGGATTGTGTAATTTTGATTTTATTTGGTGAGATAGTGCTTGTAATTCTAAGGGGCAGGTTTGTCATGAGAAAAAAAAATATATCAATTAATAGCAAATAATACCAGGACATACTATGACATAACGGAGGAGACAACCACAAATATATTTCTCTAACAAGACCATGAATATGATTTATTATTATTACATAAAAAATAAAAAAATAAATTAAATCACAACAGCAGTTGTCTTGGAGGACTTTACATTTTCAATTTGCCAACAACAGATTAGAGAATAAAAGAAAATAAAAAATTTAAAACTTAAAAAAAATAATGTACACAGGAGCCATTGGTCCAATTTACAATCAGGAAGCAACACTATGAACCAAAAAACTAGAAAGAATACCTGTCAAATTTGTAGCAAAAACCGGAAATATACTTTTCTTAACATTATTTTAGTAAAAGTCATCCAAGCTGTCATTTGCACTTGAATACCATATTTGTCTTTCAATAACAGGCTACCAAGGCCTCTAATTTCTCTATTGGACCAGGCCACAGTGAGTGACATGAGGAAATGAGGCAGCAGGTGACAGTGTTCCCTGGATGACAGCCTGCGGTAACATAGTTGCACAGGAAGTGTCATGCTGGCTGTCCTACTGTAATTACACTTAGTTACGGCTGTTGTGTGATGGGAAATTGCAGTTTGAAAACAGTAGATTCTTTGTATGTCGGAAACAGCACGCCGCAGATCAATACAGATTATTTGAGATTCCCTTAAGGCTTGTTGCAACATTCCTGCGGTCTCATTCCAAATCCTGCAAAAATCACATTGTTTTAAATATGATAGTGATGTCTTAGTAAGTTTGAGATACAAGGTCACTGTTGAAGAACTCTCAAAGTCAAAAAGTGCACAATTCAATTCAATGTATATTTGTATAGCCCTAATTCACAATAGCATCACCTCAGTGGTCTTTATAAAGTTGTTGATTCATCAGCAACAGATCAGAGAATCAAACACAGGTAATGCAATCGTAACAAACACATAAGAGCGATTGGTTGATAGGGAGAGGAATGACCAATGTCTTTTAATGTTGAAAAATCCCCATAAATGTCCTGGATCATCACTGTCCTTTGACCCTCCTGCATCTGCAAGGATTGATACAACAACAAAAAGCCAATATAGAGAGAGGGATCTACTCCCATGGATGGGTAGGCTGTAGATCCATGATTCAGGCTGTAGATCCAGGACTGAGGCTGTAGATCCAGGACTGAGGCTGTAGATCCAGGACTAAGGCTGTAGATCCAGGACTGAGGCTGTAGATCCAGGACTGAGGCTTTAGATCCAGGTCTGATGCTGTAGATCCAGGTCTAAGGCTGTAGATCCACAACTCAGGCTGTAGATCCAGGACTGAGGCTGTAGATCCAGGACTCAGGCTTTAGTTCCGGGACTGAGGCTGTAGATCCAGGACTGAGGCTTTAGATCCAGGACTGAGGCTGTAGATCCAGGACATAGGCTTAAGATCCAGGACTTAGTTTATAGATCCAGGACCCTGGCTATATTTCCAGAACTCAGGCTTTAGATCCAGGACTGAGGTTGAAGATCAAGAACTCAGGCTTTAGATCCAGGACTGAGGTTGAAGATCAAGAACTCAGGCTTTAGATCCAGGACTGAGGTTGTATATCCAGGACTCAGGCTGTAGATCCAGGTCTGAGGCTGAAGATCCAGGACTCAAGCTGTAGTTTGAGGACTCAGGCTTTAGATCCAGACCATTGTACACCACATGAAAAGAAAATAGTCCGCAAATCAGAAGTGGAATATTTTAGAAAATAAATCATAATTTACCGGGCTCAAAAAGACATAATAGCAACATGAAATACTCACTTAATGAAGTCAAACCTAGCCTCTGGTATCTACGATGTGTCAGAAGAGAAAGTGTCTGCGGAGCATGGAATGGTCTAATCAGAACCGTATAATTACTGTGTAAAAACAGCCCTTTTGTGAAAGGCCAAACCTGCTCCCATGATTCATTGCTGCCTCACTGTTGCTGAATTCCACCTGTATGCGCTCCATTCTTTTTCTCAGTGACGCATAAATGTCAGCGGATGTGCTTTGATAAGTGGTGAAAGAGAAAAAAAAAAAATGTATGAACCGCTTGCTGCCATCGATGGGGGAAAAAAAAATAATAGCAAAAGAAAATAGTACCACATGATTATTTATTATGTGGCTACTGCTTCATTACATGTAAGAACCACAATATGAGAATAACATGAGAGTCAGAGCTTGGAACGTAGTCATTTAGACAGTTTTTGTTTTGTTTTTCAACCCAGAAGCCATTTTAAATTTTAATTATTAAACTTTATTACAGACACAAAGTCCAGATAAGAAAGACATTACACAAAAAACGCTGAGATGAAATGGCCAAATATAGACAAACGACTCATGATCAGAAACAAAAAAGAATCTATTCTTTCTTGTTTCTGATTAGGTTTAAGGTTAAACTACCTGATAATCTATTGTGTAAGAACCAGTGGAGAGGGTGGTTTGAGGTATGAAACTCCCATGATTGATCAGAACAGTCCCTTTCTCACCGAGCGGGAGTGGATAGCACTCTCGCTTCTTGGCAAGAAGGTTGGACCAGGGCCTTTCTGAGTGGAGTTTGCATGTTCTCCCCGTATCGGCGTAGGTTTCCTCCTTGTACTCCGGATTCCCCTACCACTAAAAACATGTACAGTAGGTCTGGCATGGGTCTCCTCTACTGGTGACCCCGCTCCCATCTCTGTGAGGAGTGAGAGACAATTGCCCAAAAACTAAACATTGTAAACCGCTTTGTGACTCTGGTCTGTGAAAGGCAGTATATAAATAAAGATTACTTACTTACTTACTTTCTGCATCACTATATACAAAATACAAATGTTTTAATGCATAGCTGAACAGAAAAATATTTTGAACAAATGCCGTCTTCACCTTATTACCATATTATTCCACCATATTATTAGAAAACCCATTATCTTTAGCATACTAGTAACGCACATCCATGTTAGTCACTCTTTGGCTGAGTGAGGGGGGTTCTTTCGATTTAAAGCTATAAAAAAAAAAAATACATGGGGAAAATTGTGATAAAATCAAATTCAGAAACTAATTAGGATATTTTTTTACCCTATTGGATTGTGGGTTGAAAGCCAAGTACCCCAACTTTAAATATTACAGATGGCTGTCTTTAGTAGTATGACTGTGGGGCACTATTGTATAAATGAGGGATTGCACCTAACTATAAAACTTGTTAAAGCAAAGTATGACAAACTCTAAAACTACTACTTTTTTATTTCATGTCATCACCGTTGTTAACCTCTTTCGGGCTATTTCCAGCAATTTAAACTCCTTCTCCCCGGCCACAAACGACTGCACTGCTCTTGTAAAAAAAAAAAAACGTACATGTACA